GAGCAGCTGAAAGTGGAATAGTTATATTCAAATTAGAGAGGAGATTATATAGAAGATGAGAACTTAATCTGTATCCACATCATGCCTCTGCAGGAATTTTATTCACTAAAAAAATTTGTTGTGTTATTCATTTTTGTTTAAAAAAAAATGTTGCTAATTATTTCTTTTTATTATAACAGTACTTTACAGGTCTAGGATAGAGGAAATAATAATCATCATAATATTTTAAGTCACCATGTGATGGAGCACTTAAAATGAGCTTATGCTTTACTTATGCTTAATTTTTTACAATATAATTTTAATTTGAGCAAAAAAAACATTTAAAAAATCATTAATTTTAATTATCTTTTTGTGTGACTTAGGCTTCATTTGTGACGATTTTCTTACTTTTTTAGCCTTAAAAAAATTATTTTTGGTGCTACAAAACTGCTTTAAAAAACAGTAAAAGATCTGTTTCAAATTAAACCTCAGTGAATGAAATAACTTAAGGAGAAAGTTGGTTTTCTAAGATAATATGATGATTTTAATTCAAATAGCACTGCAAAAGTAGATGATCAATACAATAATACCAAAAGAATCTTAAGATCATTGCCAGCATTTAAATCATGGTCTTCAATGGATCACAATTGTCCATGCCTTCTGCGGAGAAAAAAATATTATGTGCGGTCGCCGAATGCATCCAGAGGCTAATCCGGACACACTTTGTCAGCTAATGCACAGTACATTGGGTGACATAGTGCGTCTAAATTAGCCTCCGAACTCGTTCGACGTTTGCATGTAATAATCTCCATCTTGTGGAAAGCTTAACAGAGCAAGGGCTTGTGATCTCACACCAGTTAAAGAGAACCAGGCAAAACGACGGCCATTAGATCATTTGATCATCAGCATTGACTGAGAGTGATAGTGGTTACAGAGTTGTTATAGCTAACTAAATTCAATGTACAGAAGCTTATGTTAAGGACAACCATAACAGCTATAAATATAAATTTTAAAATATAAAACAATGGGCAGGAATGCACTATTAATGCATTATTAAATAAACAAATAGCTATAAAGATTACATGTGAAGAAGAAATCATTGCATTTTAAAGGCAGGAATGGGGAATACTATTCTTTATCACTCGGCCACCCATTGTGCCATTTAGCAGTTAAGAGAAAGAGTGATGGTGATAGATAGTGATTTTCTTATGAGGACGAGTTGAAAACAATTCAAAGGTTTTCCTTCAACCACCCAATCCATAGAGTACAGGCAATTGAATTAAATTTGCATAGTAAAGGTAGCTAGGAAGGGTTATAACAACAAAAATAGTTGAGGTCAGCTGCATGCATCCATAAAGAAATCAAATTAGTAAGCCAAATGAAGAATTAAATGCCAGGCCTTTAAAGCCAAACAAGTAGGGGTTGAAAAAAAAAAGTTCCTATTTTCTTGTTTATTTAATTTTTGAGCGAATTAAATAGCAAAATAAGGGCTATCTCCAACAGAAAAAACCCATTTTTCACTCCAAAATACAGCAAAACTAAAAAAATGTAGTAATTCATCTCCAATCGAACGGCATTTTCTCTCTTCTTTTGCGCGCTTCCGGTGAAGGTAACCATATTCTCCTCTTTCGCACGCTTCTTCGGCAAATCCCATGACCTAATTGGCATCGTATTGTTCACCTGCTGAACTTTGGCATGCAATTTAGAGTTTGAATGGACCGAATGGCCAACTACATACAGTGGCATGCAATTCGGTTGGAGATGGTCTAATGGCACAAATCAATGCCTTCACTCCATTCCGATTTACGGCGGATAAGCTCGAGGGTCTGTTCATGAGAATCTTCTTGCTTCTTAATTTTCAAACAACAACCACAATTTCATTTGACTACTTTCTTATTGCTTTCTCGTTATTTTCTAAAGCTTTCTGTGAAAGAAAGATGTTTTGTGCAATCAGAGTAGTTACGTTATTTTCTCCGAAACAACTTCACAACCAACTTTATAAAAAGATGTAGTTGTCCCAAACAAATCCTAAAGCTCTCCAAGCACCAAGTCACAGGTGGTAAGGTCTAAATATTCAAATAATCAAAGAAATATAAATGGTAGTAGGCTAAGTATGACTCACATGTGAAAATAACTTCATCCACAACAGAAAGAAAATTATGGTCCTTAGGAGAAGGGTTGAGTTTTAAGTCATTTTCAACAGACAATGTGCTTCAGGACAACATTGATAGGGACATGCTTTGATGATGATAACAGCAACTTTATTAGACGAACCATACAACCAAAACAACTCTGCGTTAGATGGTACATTATTAAGCTTATCTATTTTTTGTTTAATGAGTGTCGTCTTCATGATTACAATATTAGAGATTTTAATAAAATCATATGTAAATTTATACAGTTGGCTTTCAATGAAAGATGAAAAAGCTTCTATGAGAAACTATTAAAAAAAATTAGTGCAATTTTGTTATGATATCATTAATCCTTTAATGCTAATTTTATCTATTAGTTTAATAGGTTATACTTTTGTTCTCCAGATTCAAACAACTCAAACATATTTTCTCCTATTTTATCTTCAATAGATGCTTACTTTAATCTTTCCTCTAATATAATCATGCTCAATTTATCCTCCCTAATACTATCAAACATCCATCATCTAAGCATTCATTTTTTTCATGACACTCAACCTCGCTATCATGGTCTTTTTTGTCATTCAATACTCAAATGTATAAAAAAGAAATCAAAATTGTTACATTTTTATAAAATATATCTTTAAATTTCTATGATAAGCTTTAATCATTAAATAATGCTAATTTTTTCTTTTTCATTTTAATGATTTAAGCTTCATTTAGGATAACTTTCTTATTGCTTATTAAAATAACTTTTTAATACAAAAGCACTAAAAAGCTATTTTAAAAAGCAATAAAAAAACTATCCCAAACAAAACCATAATCTCTCCCTCTCTATTAATGCACTTTGGTATATGATTTTAATAGATGATAAATTGATGAGATTTTAAAATAAAAATTAGAACAAAAATATTTGAAGATAAGGACTAATAATATAATATACAATTTCAATAACTTTGAAATTAATAAATATAAACCAATATTAGTACAAGATAAAATTATACCAAGGCTTAATAGATTAAAGTAACATGAATCCATTATACCAAAAAAGGGTTTATAAATGAAGATATAAGATCACAAATTCAGGTAAGAACAAAATGGAGTGTCTTAAAAATATTAATGCAATAAAAAAATATTAAGAAGGCTTAAAGATAAATTTTAAAAAACAACAATACAGCTGATTAAAGAAAAAGGATTCATGTAATAGCACCAGGGAAAGATAAGATAAGAGAGAGTAGTTTTAGATGATTTGATCACATAAAACGACGGCCTTCTAATGATCTGGTTAGGACAATAGATGTATTAGATTTGACTTATGTTAAGAAAGATAGAGATAGACCTAAAAAAGATTTGGATAGAAAATATTAGAAATGGACTTTCTTCGATAAATTTAAGTGAGAATTTAACTCTTAACAAGACACAATGGAGAAAACGGATTCATGTAGCTGACCCCACTTAGTGGGATAAAAATTTGATATTGTTGTAACAATATAGCTTATTGTGTTTGATGTATATGAATATTCAGATATACAAAAGTCATTGATGTCCAATTTTATCATAGTAAAAAGAAGAACATTGTTATTAATGTGCAACAATTGAGAAATAATTATATTAGATGGGTAGCAAGAGTAGCCTCTCTTAAAGATAAAAGATAGAAAAAGATAAACTTGAGTATATACAATGAACAATAGGAGATGTAATAAAGCAAAAAAGATAAATTTAATTTCAATGGATTATGAAGAAAAAGTGTAGGCTAAATACAACATAAATAATCATGCAAAGTAATTTGTGTAAGATAGATTTAACACTTTCCGTAGCAGTCATGAGACAGATTAAGAATAAGAGCTCATTAAACTGAACTGAAATGAAACAAGTTGGAATAAGGCAAATAATGAAGATGTTAATGAAAAATGCTATCTTTCACTAATGCATGAAATTAATTGCATAAAGATTAGCACACGATTGATGCATAAAGATTAGCACACGATTGGGCATTTATTTGAAATTCCGACTTGATGTGGTGATCGTGAGAAAAATCGGACCTGCAAAAAGGGAAATCCCAATCCAAGAAAACAAACACAAACACATGCTTCAAAAGCTTCAAAGAGGGTAAAATTTCATCAATATTACCCATCCTACTACAATGCTCCATATATAAGCTAGCTATAAAATATTCTAGAAAATACTAGAGAATTAGGTACAAGAGGTAATTCTACAATGATTGTCCGGTCATGATAAAGATGATTAATACAGAGAATTAAATGACTGAAACACAAATCTTTATGAAAATTGACACATCACTCCATAGAATGCAACGAGTCCAAACAAGGCCCTATTAATTGACAATTTGCATCTCACATTGTTCCACTAATAAACTTCCCAAGTTAGCTGGATGGCATCTACCTTTCAGCTGATCAACACTTGTTTTAGGTTCAAGAATTTCCAAGAAATATTTCCTTGCAAGCTAACAAATACACAATTGGGCGCTCTCCACTCCCATAATACCTCAACAACCACATACATTTCTTACTGGTTGATTATGATGAATCATCATCCATTGATTTAGACTTCGTTTGGGACGGCTTTATTTCAGCTTCTTAAAGCAGCTTTCTACTACAAAAATTAAAAATTTATGTTTCTTAAAGCCGTCCCAAACAAAGCCTTAAGCTTCTTCAACATTTTTTTTTTCATGTTATCATTTCCTTTCAGTCAAACTCCTAGCATCAAAAAACAGAAAAAGCTTCCTATATGTTAACCTCTACTGCTCATTGGAAGGAAATTCATAAACAAATTAGAGACATATAAACATTTATCCCAGCATGAACAGATAAATAGGATGAGGATCCCAACTACACACACAGATATTGAAAGAAATCCAAATAAAAACTCCCAAATTCACAGTCAAATTGAAATTGTTGACGTTAAATGCTACAACCACACCATCAAAACACGAGAATTGTTTCTTGGTGAAATTCAAATCTCATATTTTCAACACACATGCATTGAAATAAGAAAAAAAATGCACAATTTAAGCTGAGCCAAACTGTCAAACTTGTTAGATACCTTTTCTACAAAGCAGGAATCTGTCTTTGAACACATGAGAAATGAACTGATGACCAATTGGTAAGACAAAAGGAACTTAGGATAACAAAATAGGTTTGTCACCACAGAATCTTCATATTCTTAAGATCTACAATGTCTACAAAAGATAACCATAGGAAAAGTGACTATGAGATATTACCAGATGACATGCTTGCAGGGATGTAGAAAGTAAAAGATCCTTAGCACCTCCATGCTGAAATCGACACCAGCTCGCCTCGTTGCCAATAGAGGTAAAGTGAAGCCTGCCGCTTCTCTACATGGAATCCCCTCACCTGAACCCTCTTTAACAGACACTCTGCTTGCATCTCCGTGAAGTTGCTGAACTGCACTGGCACAAAACCAGCTGATGCAAAAAGCGTTCGCCATTGTAGCATCTTGTCAGCAGCACGGTAACGCCCTATTATGCAATTCTCAATCTTGGGTTGAAGAATAAACCTCTCTATCTTGTTGGACATATCCATGTTACTTCCAGCTGCATCAATGGAGTCAAGGAGGATCATGGAGGACTGTAATGCATGGAGGAAGTGATGGGAAAAAGGTAAGTCGCTCCTATCACAGCCTTGATCAACGGACATGACAATCTTGGGTGTCAATTGCTTGACAAGGCGAAGCAATGTCGAAAAGGATGGGTTAAGCGCAGATCCTACAGGAAGGTTCACAGCAATTATCTCATTGCAACCTGCCGAGACCGCAAGGATTTCAACAGGGTCAAAAGATTCTAAGCTAGAGATGTTGATTTCAAATGGGATGTTGAGGTCAGCAGCAAACTGGGCGAGGTTTTCACGGGTAAGATGGAGTTCTAGTGGGTGGAAGGCGCAGAGGGAGACGAAAGCAGTGATTTTGAGCCGAGGGGCAGTGGAAGAACGCCTACGCTGTGCGAGCTCGTGTATGAAGGAGGACCATTGCCCGCCAATTCCAATATCAAAGTCTATGATGTGGATGCAATCCGCAGTGCCAAGCTCCTCAAGGAGAGCTTGTGTGACAGTGAAGTTGGTGAAATGGAGAACAGGGGAAACCTCGGAGAAGGTCTTGTAGGCACTGAGCTTGAGGACTACATCCAATGGAGTGAACAACGAAGTAGTGAATGGTGTTCTGTGATGGTGCGAAGGAGAGGAGGTGACCAGTGGAGGATTATAAGAGTTTGCTACAAGGACTTGCAGTGCCTCCTTGAAGTAAAATGCTGAGCGGAGAAGGGGCTTTCCCAGAGGGGAGGAGAGCTGGTGATTGAGCCGCGCCAATATCCCATGGGCGCTGATGAAATTCCCGGCCTCGACGAGCTCAGCTGTTTCGAAGAGCTGGTCAATAAGGGCCTGATGCTGCTGTAAGGCCATGGCAGCAGTAGACGCTGCATCATTCCCAGCCAATGAAGGCCTGGGCTTCATCAGCCGTTGCTGGAGTTGATATGGGTATGCTTGGAGCTGGCCGGCGCACAAGGAAGGGATTGAGAAAGCTGAGTCATGAGGCATGGACTGGTGACGCTTGGGGTGAGGAGAGAGGAGGTTGGAGGTCTGGTGTTGTGCTGTGGCTGCAGTAAGAGATGAACTTGGAAGAAAAAAAGCTGGGTTAGGAGAAATATTGGTTTGTAGGAGGTTAGGGCTAAAAAGCTGGGGCTTCTCATCAGTGGGTTCTTGGAAGGTCATACCAGACGGTGGGTTTATAAAATTTGCTTTTTTACCATCGATGTTTCTGCTGCCCTGGTAAAACCCACCGGAGGACGTAGTGCCGGCGATTCCTCCGATGGGTTCAAATCCCAGGAGTGGGTCGACGAGACCAAAGCCCGCAACGGTGATACCGGCGTCAAACTCCACCGGCGGCGCCTGGGAGGGAACCTGATGATAATGATGATGCTTTGAAGCAGAGGAAGGATCGTCGATGTCTCCCATGATCCAGCGGAGGAAAGTTTGCTCCTGGTTCGGGGAAGCGGCTGAGGAAGTAAGCATCGTCTCCCAGTCGTCAGCCCCTATCCCACACTTCTCGCCTGCGCTGACGATGCCACTCATCTCCAGTGATCCAGCGATGGGGTGTAGCTCCGTCGCCCATTCCTCCTTCCTCTGGGAGGGGTTTTCAGAGACTGCCGCCACTCCGCCGGTCTCAGTTGAGCCTCCACCTCCACCGCCGCCGCCGCTGCTAAGAGAAGAAGACAGGGTGGATGTAGAGGTAGGAGGGCTTGGGCTCCTCCTGTGATACAAAACCGATCTGGGTTCCAAGACCTCCCCTTTCCTCTTCCTATGACTACAGCCACTCCAAAAGGTGCCGCCTTTGTCTTCCTCCCCAAGGATTTGAGCTGCTATTGCTTCCAGCGCTCCCTTCCCCGAAAGACTGAAGGGCATTCCCCTCATCTAAAAACAAGCCGCCGCATACAAAAGAGGCTTAGATCCTTAGCTGTCTCTTGCTATTCATATATATCCCTTTCGCAGTTGGAGCTAGAGATGAAACCAAGAAAAGGGAGAGAAAAAAAGAGATCTTGGCTCCGCAATGAGAGATTAACGAGTGGATTGCCTTGCATGCAACCTGCGAAAGTTCAAGGTGGATACTTTCTTCCTCTTCCGAGCTTATGTTCTCCCCATTTCCACTGTTCTTCTTCTTCTCTCCCGGTGCTCAGGAAACCTGAAATGACAGAGAGAAAATAGAGTACACCTCACTCCTAAGTCCTCTCTCTCTCTCTCTCCCTCACGCTGTTTCTATTTCCTCTGTGTCCTCTGCTATTGATGCGTGCAACATGGAAAAAGTATTAAAGCGATACCTTCTCCCCTCGTTAAATTTTTTTAATACAATACTTGGGCGAGAGAAAGATGAATTTTAATCTGGAAAATATAATAAGAATTACTAAAGATAATTACGGTATATAAATTTATTTGAAATATGATAAATATAGTCAACTTAGATGACAGCAACGCCCCCGGTGATCGGTCTTAAAGTGGTCGGAGAGTTACACAATCAAATTTAAATTATTATTTTTTATCATTATTAAATTAAATACATTATATGATTTGATGACTAACTGTAAAAAAAATATTTTGCAACTTCAAATCATTATTAGAATTTTATACAAAATAGAAGATTTATTTTAGTAAAAAAAACACAACACAGATTGATTTTTTTTTATTAGATTAAAATAGATATATGTACCCACAGGCCTCCACTCACATACAAGTTATCTTCTCCTAATATTGGCCTTATTTCGTATGCACGCATTACTTTTGATAACAATATCAAAGAGTGTATTAAGACAGGTTTTAATCAACATCTTTGACTATCAGTGAGATAATTTCCAATGAGAAATGGTTGAATCCATCATTCAATCTACGCTCATACTAGAGAACACTCTATTACTGATATTCAGCTTGCAGAATTTGGCAAGTTTTTTACTGATCCTCAATCAATCAAAGAATTTGTTATTATAATTATAAAGTAGTTGAACTATACAAGCAGTACTATCATTGTAAAGCATATCATCTAAAGTAGGGGTGTCAAAAACGGGTTGCGTTTCGGGTTCAGGTCGAAGCCGATATTGACCCGCTGTTGTTTGACACGATCCTAACCCGGCCATTTTTTGCAAACAGATCAAAAATTCCAACCTGGACTCAACTCGTTGGTTTACCGAGTTGACTCTACCTGATCAGCCTTAGGGTGTAGGGTCAGGTGTGGGCTCTTGTGTGGCGCCGCGCTCTCGCTTGCGCAGGAAAAGAAGAATTTCAATGTGAAAGTCCGAAGTAGGAATGCATGGTTAGGTGCGGTCTTGTGAGGATGTCCGATTGATAGTTCAGTGCGGAGTCGCACTCGTGCTTGCACAGGCGAAGCAGATGTCCGGTGCGAATGCTCGGTGCAGGACTCTAGAGTCGGGTGCGGAAGTCCAGTTGTGGGTTAGGTGCAGTGTCGTGCTCGTGCCTGTGAGGTCGCACTCGCACTTGCGCAGGCAAAGTGGAAGGTTGTATGTGGTCCAGTGCGGGGTTGCGTGCACGCAATGATGGGTTCTAGTGCCAGTCACTTCCATGTCATTTTGGGTTAGAAGATTGACTTGGACCCAACCCCATTTTTTAAACGAATCGAAAATTGGAACCTGAACCCGACCAATTTGCTAAATGGGTTGTATCGAAATTGAATTTTTCAGGACGAGTTTATGTTATAATTCATGTCGTCTAAAATATTAACACCCCTAATCTTAAGTGTGTAAAAATGTGACATCTTAATTTCTATAATATAGAGAGCATTATTATAAAATTCATTAATGATAATAATTAGTTGCTGACAATCACAGGCAGTGTTCGAGGAAGAGGTGGCAAGCGATGGTTGGTTGTTGGCAGGATATTAATCGGCGAACGACAATCTGGTGACAGTGGTTGGAGGGACCGTAGTTGGCGAAGGAGGTCGGAATGATTGTAGTCAGCGGAGGAGGTCGAAACGACCGTAGTCAACGGGCGACGGATGTCAGAAAGACCGTAGTCTTGTGATGGTGGTCGGAGGGTTTAGTCGGCGGGCGACAGTGGTTAGAAAAAAAGAATGTTGTCTTGCGACGGGGGTACCGTTATCTGATGACAGATGTCAAAATGACCATAGTTGGCCGGCGATAGTGACAAGAAAGATCGTTGTTGGGCGACGGATGTCAAAAGGAACGAGTCGACGGACGATAGTAGTAAAAGAATCTATTTTTTGGTGAAGGAGATCGGAAGGACCGTAGTCAGTTGGCGATGGAGGTCGGAGGTCTAGTGATGAGCGAAAGTTTGACTTCAGATATAAGTCCGACGAAAGTTGGCGACGGGCAAAAGTCCGGCGATGAGTGGAAGTCCTGCATCAAGTAGAAATCCGACCACGGTCGGCTACCGGGTGGGAGTCCGGTGACGGTAGGTGATTGGGCGGTGGTCCGACAATTGTTGGGTGGATGTTTAGCGGGGGTTGGCGGTCGGGCGGTGGTCTGATGAAGGTCGAGCTAAAGTTCGGCGATGGTTGGCCGCCGAGTTGAAGTCCGGCGGTGGTCAGCGGCCATGCGGCAGTTCGATGAAGGTTGGGCTAAAGTCTAGCGGCATTCGACAGTCGGTGGTCGGGCGGTGGTCCGACGATGGTCGGACATATCAATACTAAATCACATACAATCATTCAAATTGAATTGAATAACTTCTTTCAACTTTTTAAAATTCAATAAATCTTTCATTTAAATTTTTTATTTTCTTGAATTTGAATCCACAATTCTTTAAATAATTAAATAATTGATTAAACTACATGCTAATAAATATATTAAAATTTTTAATTATTTTGTAGATTTTAAACGAATTTAATCTCAATTTTACACATATTTATAGGCCTTGAACTTTATAGATTGTGATTGGAATCAAAGCATCCAACAATTAGGTCAAGGTGGATTAGGCAAATTTAAATGTTTTATCAACTTCTTCGATAATAAACCAATTTTCACTTTTAATTGTACATTCATTTGTTTCTTGTATTGTGATGTGTTAGGTCAATATGAATTGTATTTTAATTATGACCTTATATTATAAAATTTGTTATTTGACTTTATTAATTAAAAAAAAAAAACAATCTTCTTATTGTGGAGTTGTTTAACGGTCCATAATCATTAGGTGAGGTGATGCTCTATATTTGAAAATCACTCGAATTAGTTGATTTTCTAATGTATAAAAAAATGAATTAAATGATGAATTCTACATATGATAATGAATTATTTAGAAATTATTTTTCATGCAATTAAATATCAAATTAAGTTTAAAAATTTTTGCATCCCTTCTATTATGCACTCAATTTTTTTTAAAACCAAATAGCTCCATAATTTTTTTTACAATATTTGGGTTATTTATTACATGATATAGTGATCTGATTTGCACCTATAATGGCACAAACCAACACTTAAAATAAATTGTGCTTTTAGGTGTGTGCGCTAAGTGTCCTATAAATTTGACCGTTAATATACGCAGAAAGGATGATCTTGTGCTAATACTCTAATGATCTCTTGTCTACCGAGGCCGCTAACTCCCCATCATGTAACAAATCACATTCCGTGGATCGAATGGCGCCAGACTCATCAATTAGCTCCCCTTGTAGATGTGGTGTGGTTTGACGAAACGTCTAAAAACGGTTCAGTCGTGCTGGTCAATTTTTTATTTTGAACATATTGTATCATACACTTCTTGCATAGTTTTCCATGCTTCATACCTTCTCATCTTAAGGTCATAAGCTCAAAAAGAGAAAATTTACTCTATGAGTTAATTTAAATTCAATTGAGTAATCATATATGATCCCTAATTGTATGTACACTCAACTCAATTAGAGTTGTATGATATTTTTATTTTGTGGTAGGGTGTGCTTGATTGACCCCATATGATATGACTTTTTTTTTGTTTAACTTATGCTATTTCAAAAGCTATGTATATCATATTGATGCATAATCAATGAATATGTTTTGTATATATTTTTATATATTTTTAAACCAACATGTTAAAATTAGCATTATGTGTTTTTTTTCCCTATTTTTAAGGATTATTCTCTCATCGCTCTCTTATATTGCCCTTATCTATTTAGTTTGAACCCATGGTTACCATGGGATACTATTCATTTGTATTTGATAGTTATAGAGAAAGAGAGGGTGGAAATAATGAAAGCTTACTTTTTTTGACTGATCATAAGAAGTCACATGTTATGGGGCTTTGGTGAGATAATATGAAAAATTATTATGTTGTAGTAATATGTCAAATGATAGATATAGAAAATAAAATAGAAGAATGCAAGAAAAATATTGATAGTGCTTTAATTTGGAAACTTACATCCATTTTTAGGGCGACTAAGAGAATATGCATAATATTGTTATGTGAATATATTGGAGAAGTTGGGTATCTAAGAAATTTTCATATAAGTACCAAAAAATAAGAACAAATAGGATGAAAAAAGAAGTTACATCTAATATGAAAACATAGAACAAAGTAACTACATTAGGTGGGAAAAAGAAGGAAAAATATAGTAATTATGGTGTTCAATTCTTTTAAAGAATATAGATGATTTATTGCAAAACTTTAATAAGTATAAAAAAAGCTATCAATAAGTTCTAATAACCTCTAAAAATACTTTAAAGTGTTGAGGTGAGGTGAAATTTTTTTCCTTAAATAAGTTTATAGAAGCTGAATCGGTATAGTGTATCCTCCATATGGATGCTTGAGTAAATTAACAATTAATTAGGTAAGCAAAATCATTAATCTCTAAGCTACTCCTATAATGGGGTAATTACAACTGCTTTATGATGATGATGACCAAATATAACGATAACACCTATGACATATATATGTTTAGTGATGCCTCAGTAAAAGAGTATTGACCATTGTGTGTGCTAGAGTACGTAAGAGTATTAAATCTAAAGCTGCAAACATGCTGTATGGCTTGACACTATAATAAAGTACGTGAGCAATTGATGAATTCAATATTCTTATAGGCTAATTCATAGTTTTTTATGGTGTATGCCAATTATAAAAGAAGTCAACATAATGTTATGTTAAAATTAAACCTTGATTCATTAATAAAAATTGAATTATACATATCAATTTTTATGATATGAATTTTGAAAATATTTCTTTCCTAATTGTTGGACAAAGTCTAATATTAAAAAGTTGTAGTGAATTCTTGCATTAGTCGGTCATCTATTTATTTATTCACAGGCATGATAAGAATATGCTCCTCGTTGATTGTTGGAACTAAAGTTGATATTGGAAGTGATCATGAGACTATCAACATGTGCA